TTGTTTTGGATTCGGGTTTCTCTGTGTGTACAAATACCATTTCGGGGAGCGGCGGTGCATGGGGCAGAGCGTTCGTTTTCTTTTTTGGGGTCTGGGTTGTTTTTACTTGTTGTTTTGGGGGTTGACTCTCCCCAGGCTGGGGGGTTTGGATCCCTACCTCCCTAGGCTGGGCCGGCGTTGTGGATTTCTTCTCGGTTGTGTTGTGGGCAAGCAAAACGCTGTTGGGTTGTCACAGCTGCCTTTTTTATGTTTATGTATTTACAACTGCTATATCATCCGAAAAGGGGCGCCTGAGCTGGCGTGTTGACTTCATTCGGGTTTTGGTGCGCTGAGCTGTCTCTCTCTGCCGTGTTCAGGGGCTGGCTGGCTGCTGTAGGCCTTGGTCACTCGGTTCGAGGTTGGTTCCCCACCAACTTCTCCTGATTGCACTTGGCGCCCACAACAAACAAACGCGAGGAATCCTGGACAGCGCACACAGCCTTGGAGCTTGAGCAGGACTGCGGTCTTGGACCCCTTTCCTTCCACAGACTATCGAATCGTTCACCGCTGGCGTCTTTCTCTCGAGGCCTCCCGTCTTGCTGGATGGAATCCCCAAAACGGCAACATATTCGCGACACGCTGCCTGCCTATCTTTTCCTCTTGGGGGGGATGTCCGCTGTCCAGGCCCTGGGCGTTCACTCGGGAACTTGTTTCCGGGGTGTTTTCCGGGTGGCTACAGGGGGTCTTCACTCTTCAGAGTGCTCGCCTGGCTGTTATTCTCCTGCCAAGGTCCAAGGGCGGGCGGGCCTTGCCCTAGCCGTACCTAATCTGGGGTTCTGCCGCGAGGTTTGAGGCAGGGGTTTAACGAAGTTGGATTGGGGTTTGAAAGCGCCAGACCAGGTGGGAACGTTGACCGGTTCCATCAATCTTTCCTTGCTGTGCCGGTTCTTCCAATTTGATGTCAGTCGCACGCCGAGGGGAGGATACAAATGCGGGAGGATGTCCCAGTTTTGGGCAAAGGGATCGTCTCGAAGAGGAGGAAGGATGAGGAAGGGTGGGGGGATTCGAGGGAGTGGCGGGAACTGTCCGGGAGCTTATTCTTATCCCAGTTGGATGCCTCTGTTCCTGCAGTGATGAGTGGACCCAGCCAATTTTCGGTCGCGAAGCACGCGAGTCACTCGACGGGGATGTCGTGGAGCCTGATTTAAAGGAGCTTGTTGACCTTGTCTCCTTGTTCATCTCTCAGGCCTTTCGGCCCTGCGGAGATGCCGGACGGTATGCGCGCTGAGCTTGGCGCCGATGACTGCTCCCGTAGCGCTCCCGTCAGCAGGGAAAGCAGTCAACGGTCGTCGGCATCTCTGTGGCCGAACACCGAAGCTCATTGCCGGTCCTGTGTCCGTAACCAGCCATCCACCGGGCGTCAATGGACGGTTGGCTGTGGCGGAAGTTCAGGCCTGATTCTGCCAGCTCCGAGGCTGTGTAACCCGGGCCTCACAGGACAGGGCAAGCCGTTGGGTGGGCAAGCCGTTGGGTGGGCTCAGTGGGGTTAAATCCTTCCGATGCGGGTAGATCTTCGGTGCAACGTCCTCTGAGGTCCTGCAACAAACCTCAGCCTGGAACCAAGCCCCTCCGCGCGGAGGTCTTGCTTGATGGGGTGGGTGCCCGGTTCCACTGTCCACAGCAGATACTTGCTGCTCGTATGTGCCGCCTCCTGGCCAAGGTCGCCGCAAGCCAAGAGGTTCTGTTGACAGCTCTCACTGGTCAATCGATAGAGATCGGTCCAGTCTGTGCCGCTTGGTGCTCCCGCGTCCCCAGTGTCGTCCATGACGAGTTTGGGATCCTCCAGCTCCTGGCCTCTATTTCTGGCCTTGACACCCCGCCCCTGTCCTTTCTTCGTATCGCCTTCTCCATGTTCAATTTCGATAACATGCGGACGCGATTTGCGTTTCTGGGGAAGCCAGACGCCACATGCACCGACTGAGCAGATCCAGGTTGGAGCGACATTGAACCATGAGATTCTACTCTCTCACCCACGGCTTCACTTGCCTGGCCTTGCTACAATGCCTCGCCAGCAGCGGCGTCCTGGCGCAAACCCCGGCGCCGGACGGCCCGGCCAACTTCCAGGGCATCTACCTAAACCCAACCGGAGCCGGTGCGTCGTCACCCCCATACCCATCCCAGCCCCCTTTCCGACATCCATCCTAACCCAGCCCAGTCGAGACCCTCAACTGCGACGCGAGCTCCGTCTTCGCCCTCTCCAGCACCTTCGCCGGCTGCTGCAAGATCGGCCTCAACTGCAACTTCCCGACGGCCTGCGCGCGCGGCCAGCCGACCAACCGCAAGGGCGGCAAGTGGTCGTGCGGCCAGGACCGCGCCTGCTACACCATGACCGTGTACGCCGCCTACCCCGATCCGACCGTGTCGGCGACCGAGAGCTGGGTCGTGCACAACTGCGCCAAGTCGTGGAGCGCCAGCACCATCTACCGGAGCGTGCCGTCGTCGCTGACCACGGGCATGGCGGGGAGTGCGAGTAGTAGCAGTTCGTCGACCGTGGACTTCTTTTCCTCCACCACGGAGGCGAGCACCACGGAGGCGAGGGCGGGCGAGATCACGGCGCCTGCTGACCCGCCCGAGGAAGTCGAGTCGCAGCCGTCCAAGGCGTGGATCGCAGGCGTGGTGATTGGGTGTCTCGTGGCTGGCGCGGTGCTGGGCGGGCTCGGGTTCTGGTTTGTGAGGAGGCGGAAGAGGGGTGTCAACGAAAACGGGGAACATGAACATAAGGGGTTTACGCTTCACTCGGCCTCGCTGACGAGGTTGGGCGGGGGTTGGTTCGCGCCGCCGCCTAATGACGACGCGAAGGCGGCCGCGGGGCGGGCGAACGCTGTCGCCGTTGCTGAGGGGGTCGAGATGGAGGGCCATGTCCCTGGGTATGGAATACCGCAGAGTCCGCAGGAGTTGGCTTCGCCGCTGCATGCTGAGCTCGAGACGGTGTCGACGGAGAAGAAGGGGTACTACAGTAGTCACAATGTATAATCGTAGTCTTGCTTTGAGAGCGACAATACTGTGTCATGGCCTCGGCTTGTTTGTAGTGCAGGAAATGAGACACGAGAACACAGGTTATAAACATGATGGGTTGCTGGTTGTGAATGAACGTCGGAATTAACGTATTACCTCTTCACCTCCATCCTGTTTACTATCTTCCCTCATGTACTACTCTTCTTCTTCATCACCCCCATTCTTACCCAATTTTGCCCATCTTGTCTCTTTCTCCTCTTTCTATTTTATTTTGCCTTCTTACGTATGGGGCGAACGACTGATGACTTCCTCGGCGTTGAAAACATCCTGATTGTCTCTCTCAACGAGGTACGGGCAACACAATTATGAAAGCAAGGGTTAAAACGGTTCGCTTACTGCTCGCTCATATACACAACATGTCTTCAATGTTTTCCACACCCCCGAATCCGGCCCTCTACACCTTGACCGTTACCGCAAACACGCCCTGCCCGGCCCCGACATACGCCACATTCTTATCGCTCTCGCCGCGCCCAAACGCACACGACGTCGACCCCGTGACGCTGCCCACGCTCGTCGGCTGGCCCGCCGCGGGGTCCACCTCGACCAGCGAGTTCCGGCTGTTGGTCGCCACGTAGATCTTGCCGTTCGGCCCAAAGCACAGGTCGTCCCCCATCAGGTTCGTCCACAGCGTGGTATACGCGCCCGTGGCCTTGGCCGTGGCGGGGTCGACGGCGACCTTGTGGAAGCTGTTCTTGAAGATGTTGGTGTACCAGACGGTGCCGTCGCGGTACTTGATGCCGTCGATGCCGAACGGGATGCCGCCCGACGGTGCCATGGTCGCGTCCTGCAGCACGACGGCGTACGCGCCCGTGTTGACGTCGAATTTGTAGACCGCGCCCTTGCCCGCGTCGGCGACTAGGACGGACGAGTTATCGAACACGGCCAGGCCGTTGAGGTTGTTGGCCTCGGTGATGGTCTTGATGAGGGAGGACTTGGGCGGCGTGGACGTGAAGTCGACCTTGTAGATGCCCTTGCCGCCGATGACGGCGAAGAGGTCCGGGGCGTACTCGCCGATGCCTGACAGGCCCGACGCGCCCGAGACGCTGAGCGCGGTGGTCGAGGTCTTGGCGACGGCGTCGATGGCGTAGAGGTTCGCCGAGTTCATGTTGGTCGCCAGGATCTGGCCGTTGGAGCGGACCGCGACGTTCTCGACGGAGCTGAGCCGGACGACTTGCGTGGCACTCTGCCGGGGGATGAGGGCGCCACTGGCCAGGGAGGCCAGGAAGGGGAGGAGGAGGAGCATAGTAATGTTTTGCTAGTGTTGAGCTGAAGGTTGCTGGAGTTGAGTGATCAACCTGGTCTGTTGTATGTTCGTCATGAAGCTGCCGTCCCCTTTTCAAGGGCTGGCCCAGGTGAGAGGATATCTTCCGCCATGACCCTTCACCACAATGACGCCGCCCGTATAAATAGTTCTTGGCGCCTCATCGTGAGAAATTGGAGTGGAGGCGCCTAAATACTGAGCTGGTGGTGAAGCATGCTGATTTGGAGGTGTCCCTGGCCGGCAATCTGGCTAATCACCCACATTGTTGTCTGCTGCCGAAAAGGGCAACACGGCTCGGCGGCTCTATCCGAGGGCATTATATTCCGGCTCCAGTATTGCGGTCCGGCTGCGGGGAAGGTTGAACGTCTTTGTGTTCGACCAGGCATGTGGTCAAAAAAGCGTGGGTGCAGGCCGGCAGTGGAGCGGGACAAAACAGGAGGAAACCCACAAAGTCTAGAGTTAGACCTTTGTTTTTGTGCGCCGGCTGTCAGCTTGTGGAGTGACAGGTCGACTCGCTCACTCCCTTTTGGCTTTCTCGTAGTGACGTCTGCGGGCGAGCTTGCGAGATGAAGACATAACCCTAACCGGCTCTCTCGTGATTGTGGGGTCTCACAGTGGGGTGGAGACAAAAAGGGGGTGCGGAGATGAGGAGAAAGGGGCTCATGCAACCGCAAAAGTTGAAGCTTGACCAACACCCGATTTGAACGGATAACCTTTCGATTGCCAAACACACTGGAGTCGAACGCGCTGCCGTTGCGCCAGTCGGCCTTTTGCTGATTGTTGAAGCGGAAATACCGAGCTGGTGATAATATTGTTGGCGTTGGTGAAGGTTTTCACCTTGGACAACCACCCCCACACAGACCTCAACATTGATGGGAAGGAACAAGGAACAGCAAGAACCTAGACTGCTTGGGCAAGTAGGCATTGGCAATGTTGTGGATGGGCAATTGAACACCCTTTGTAGAAAACCAAGTTTGAATTCAGCGGTCAACAAGACCAGACATCATGGATGTATGTAGTGACGACTATGCACAAAGTTGGAGTGCCATGGAGGCAGCAGCAGCTATGTACAGCAGCAGCTAACTACAGCAGCAGCGAAAGCCGTGTTCAATGGTTGCAATGTTATCATACCAGCGCACATGATAACCTTTCGATTGCCCCCTTTTTTTCCCCATTCTCCCCAAAGGTTGCTATGTTCTTGTATTTTTTTCTTTTGGTCTATAGCCCCTTCACATTCTTCTCTCCATTCTCCCTTTTCTTCACTTAGCATGCCCACCCGCTTCGCCTCCTTTTGTGCTCTTGAAAGTCGAATCAGATTGAACTTTACAGGAAACCACATCCAACAATAATCGGCTGGAAGATCATCTGATGGTTAGCCTCCCAGATGCCACTTGGGCTTCGTGCCCCTACACCTCATTCCTGCAGACCTGGGAACCCGGGGTAACATGCGGCTACTTGGGGGTCTTGTCGAAGGGCAGCATGCCCAACGAGCCATGCATCAAGGGACTGCCATTTCTTGAGAGTCCGTTCCCTTTCGAGCCCGGCATTACCCTCGGTGACAACAACAAGGACCGATGGGGTTGGAGGGTGTGTGGGGTCGGCAGCGCTGTCTCAAGTCCGGATATATCATTGGGTTACCAACTGGATGGTCTTGCGGCCTTGGAGAAGAAAGGCCTTGTTTCCACTCCATTTACACACAAAGCGAGATACGTATATCCTCCACTCGCAAAAGGACATCAGACGAGCGGCACAGATCACATCTCGGACTCGACTAACAGAATGCGAACCAACATAACCAGCCCCAACTGACATCCGAGCCGTCACTTACATCAACCCGAGCGGCGCAAGTGTTGAACTCTTGCGACGGATTCAATTCATCTCGTCTCGTCTCCTACCTACTATCACAACCCATCACCTCCTCTCCGTGCCACACAACTCAGCTGTGAGCTGTGCCACCGACCTCAGGGCCGGGTGGGTCAACCGGCCTGCGGCCGGGAATGAGGCTGGGCGGTGGCCGTTGTGGGGGCCATTTTCTTGCAGCGCTGGCAGTGTTGTGCCGTTCCGGGCCATACGGTGGCCTGCTGAAATGGGCCGGGTGTGCTAAATCTGGTGTTGGTGATGGGGATGGTATGACGTTGGGATGTGGTAGTGGAATGAGATGGTGTCTGGTTCTGCCGCGGATTGCTCAGCCTTGCCAGCTGGGTTTTGTTTCTGCTTCTGTTTTGGTTTTTTGGGCAGAGCTGTTCAGCCAGCCTTACCTGGCGGCTTTGTGCAGTGGCGTTCGAGGGACAGACACCCTCTCGTAGGGGGAGTGGTGGAATGGCCCTCTCCGTCTTTTGTGTGCTGTTCCTGCATGTAGGACTCGGCTCGACTTGTTTGCTGTCTCAGCAGGCGACAGGCACGTATGATTCATCAACCATGCCTCTTTCAGTATCCTTTGAGAAGATGCTCTTCGGGTAGGAATGGTTGGAAGTGTCTCGGTCTGCCCGATATCTTCTCACCTGCAGTTGGGTGGTGATCGTCTCGGCTTCGGCGCTTAGTAGCGCGCAAGCAAGCGCAAGCGCCATTGGGCCGTCCACTAGCACGGCAAACACGTTGACATGCAGGGCTCACAGTGCATATCGAGATGCCCAAAAGGGTGTTTAGGGGGAGTAAACTTGGCGGTTTTTGGCCCCCCATCCTGTCCTGTCCTGCGGCTGATCGCTAGCTTCGTGGTCGATGCTGGGGCGCGGCACGGCGGTCTGCAGGTGTTTCGGCGCCCTGTTGGCCCCCCAAGGGCTTCCGGCTGTGGTGGCTGATTGGCGGCACATGCACATACACCGTGTTACCCGATTTGGCAAGCAATCTCGGGCATCACCAACTTGCGTATTGCGTGGCTGGTGCTCCAGAAGTCAAATCCCGCTTACAGCAGATGGGCCAGCTGTCTATCCCGTCGTACCACCACTGATTTCCCCGAAAAGAAGCGCCGAACGGCACCCGGAGACCTCCCGGACCGGCCCCGGAGCTTCAGACCCACTTCCCCATGGTGGGGCCGGCCCCCTCCCCCTGTCCCGGGGCGCCGCCGCAAACCTTGTTGGTCCTAGCTTAGATGCAAACATGCGACTCGCGAGCGGCGAAGCCGACGGGAGGATTAGACGCACGGCTGCACCATCCTTTCCGGAGGTGTTGGGCCGGGAAGGATTCCTTGAGCCAGCCCCCAGGGGCATTCATCGATCGGACGACTGTGCTACCCTGTTGGTCTGAAGTCGGGTGGCTTGGAGATGATGCGGCGAGGGCGGGCCAGAGACGAAGTTTCAATTTGAAGGTGTCGGAGAATCACATGGTGATTTGGCCTGGTCACCAGCAGGACAATGAGGTGGGACTTGGACGTAAAGCTGTTGTCATTGCATCGAATAGGGTCAAATAAAGGACTATCTACTGTAGAAGAAAGGAAATGCTAACTGACATGAAAGGAAATAAGAAAAGCAAGTAAGAAATCCAACCGTATCTCCTCTAGTGCAGTGATGCCAACCAAGTCTAACCGTCCGATCGCGCTGTCTAAGCCATTGTGTCCGCGGAGGCCGTATAGCCGTGACATGGGTATCTCCTTCCAAAAGAATGCCTTTTGAATGATCCATACCCGATACTGTGAGACATTGAGTCTCCTCCTCTTCATGAAATGTGTTCAAAGTTGCGCACTGATAATGGTACATTGGTGATGAAACCTGGGGTCCTTGACCAGGCCGTTAGCAAGAATGATACTAGCAAATGGTGAGAATGTTGAGGGTTTAGTACCGTAAGAGTACCGTAAGATATGTACAAGTCGCCGTCGTCGAGGCGATGGAACCGCTTGCCGTGGTCAGCAGAGCAGCGAGCCCATCCTATGCCTCGTAAACGATGTACTCGTCCCACATCTGCTGAGTCCCGGGGCAGTCATCGTTGACAAAGACCTGGGAGACTCGGTGGCGGTCGCGACGCTCGCTGAATCTGCATGTCCCGTAGACATGGCGCCTGTGCACAGTGCACGAGTACGGCGTCCTTCGCAGCTGTCGGCAGTTGTGGTACGGGTCGCAACGGTAGACGACTTCTTCCCAACCGCACATGTTGGCTGAACTGTTCGGATCGTCCTTGAGTGAAGTTTGGAAGGGATGGGCGTGTAGACGGTGCTATGTAAGTGGACAGGCAGTCTGTCGAGTGGTTGTCGTGATGCTCTGTGTTGGAAGAAGGGTTCTTGGTCAAGCATGCAGTCCCCTTATATGCCAATCTTGACGCGAAGAGGATGCCTTCTGAGTCAGGAATGAAGCAGGAGAGTGCCTCGGCCGGCCGGTAGGTGAAGACTTAGGCGACTGACCAACCGAAATCATACCGAGAAAGAAGAGACCGACATGGAGCCGGCAGGTGACTTGCCTCGAGCTGCGGGCGGCCGGCTTTTGGGCCATGCTTGCAGCAACGCCCCTGACCGATGTGAACCAGAGTGTCGGGATGGGGTGTCGTGGTCAAGAGAGGCAGCACGGCACTGTACGACTTACACCAGCCCCAGTCACATACCTCTCTCACCAGCACGGGCACGGCTAGGAGAAGGGAGGTGTCCACCCCTTGTCTCGCGGGAGCAGGGGTTGCCCTCCCCTCCCCTGCGGCGGGAAGAAGGCGGTGCGCCGTTGGGACTAAGGAGCAAGAAGCTTACAGCCATGTCTCACAAGCAGGTCTTACAACCCCCGTGCCCGGAAGCCATGGAAAGCCTGCTGGTTGCTGGCCTGGGCCGGGTAGACTGCGCCGCGCCCCATTGGCCGGCCGGGTGACGGTGTAGGCGAACTAGGTGTTGGACAGACGCATCACGCGTGTAAATAAGCGGTTAAGCGCCGAGCTGCCGGCCCCGTTTTTGGCGTTCCGGCACCCCTGCTTAGCACACCCACCTGGTCCAACTGTACTTGCAGATGTTGTTCTCGAAGACTGCCAGGGAAAGACGGCGACACAACGCAAACAACACCTCATTACTGACAGGAGAATTCTCGGTCAGTAGTGACCTCATGGCCCATCATCCCCTGGCCTGCACCATCCCGCTTCTCCCCCCCATGACTCTCCCCGGCCGCCATGACTGTCGCCTTACCGTCGAGGCACCGACCTGGCACCGCCTTGTCGAGATGCCTAGGTGGACAGGAATTTGCCAATGGTTCGCCGTTCCGCCAAATGCCGACTACCAGGTTCACCCAGGGCTCTGTTGTCGATCGTCCCATGTTCAGCCCTACACTCTCCCTCCGTGATTAGTCGTACATGTGCAACGCCGTAGCACAAGGTGCTAACCAAAGCTGTGCACTGCTTCATAACAAGCTGCCAGATTCAGCAGTTCTGTGAAACTGGCTCAAGCCATGCATCATTAGCGCCACCAAGCAGTGGCCGCCGTTCTCTGTCCACCAGCTCCAACTTACATGCATACGTGCATGTTCTTCGCACGGAGCATCCCTACACACCGATGCAGGAGTCGCATCATTCAAACATGGCATGTTCGAGCACCATGTCACTGACTCGATGCTCGACTCGCTCGAGCTTCGGACTTGACCCATGCATCCACCTCTACCTCCACCTCAACCTAGGACAGGCTCACCGTCCGCCCCGTAGATCAGGTGCTCCTGTCGATAACTCTGCGCTATGCCTAGGCTCTTTCGCCCAAGGCACTGTGGACGCGGTTGGCTTTCCTGCATTCCGAGATCGCTCGAGTCAGGCTGTGCCGCCTGGCGTTCGCTTACAAGCCACCGCGGTGCCACCCCCAAAATTCGGCTCTGCTGGCCAGA